AGGAGGAGGAGGAGGAGGAAAAAGAAGAAGAAGGAGGAGGAGGAGGAGGAGGAAGAAGAAGGAGAAGGAGAAGAAGAAGAAGAAGAAGAAGAAGAAGAAGAAGAAGAAGAAGAAGAAGAAGAAGAAGAAGAAGAAGAAGAAGAAGAAGAAGAAGAAGAAGAAGAAGAAGAAGAAGAAGAAGAAGAAGAAGAAGAAGAAGTAGTAGTTCTCTTCCCATCAGCCCTTGCAGGAAAAGAAAAAAAGCTGTCATGTCTTGACTTTGAGCGATGAAGAGTTTAGTTTATAAAACAAGCACGACGGGGGTCTACCTCACAGGGTGCTTTCAGGGATAATATACAACTTGAAAATCATCTCCAGCTCCTTTTTTTATGGACTCCCCAACTCTTCCCAAAATTACACGGCTGAAATTTGGCTACAATACTGCTGATTGTTCGCATTGGCAGGATAAGGGCCCCCATGCTTCAAATAAAAAAAGGCTAAAAACGTCCACCCTAATTCACCAGAGTTCTCACTTGGAGGGGGGGGGAGAAAAAAGAGCTTTAGCAAAGCGGTGGGGACAGGCCGCCTTTAATTTCCACTCCGAGGACGTTGGCATTCTGCAGAAGAATGGCTTAAATCTCTTGAGCGTCTCTGAATCTCTTTTCTAATCCTTCTTTTTATAGTATCTAATGCAGAAAGGGGGGAGAGACGGAGGAAGAGAGAGGAAGAGAGAAATAGCCAGGACTTGATTGTGCTGCTTTTATTGCCAACCCAAAGTGACCAATCTGTCAAGCAGGAGGCCAATCCTGGAGAGTAGCCTGTTGCCCCCAATGGATGGTGAACAGGCCACCGAGGAGCCCCTGCAAATGTGCACCTTGGAAGCTGCTAAATTATTTAAAGAACGATTCAGCAAACCTCAGGATTCTACCGTCCCGTAAATCAAACCCTTTCTTAAATTGCATTAAGCCATGGATTCCGCTTGATTTCTCCTGGCCTATTGATAGCTTTTCCCCTGTGAGTGTAGAGTATTGATTGCAGTGGACAGGGTTTTTTTTTTTTTTCCCCAAGCCATCATCTCCTACATCCATCTCGGCCAGGGAGAAAAAGAAAAACCCGGGTAGGACAAAATGTGGCTATCACGCTAAGCCATCCTTGGCCAAGAAGCAAGGAGGCTGAATAAAGCAGAATGATCTCGGAGGGCAAAAGTGGTTGAGGTGCAAATCTTGAGTTGTAGGTCACCGTCCTTTGGAATTTGCCCCCGAATCGGTGAATCTACTTAAGTTGTGCATCGGATCTTCAGGCTTGATCTCTAATTCTTCTACTCGGACCCATTTCTGTATCACTTTAGATATTTATTTGTTTCTAAAAGGCAGCATTGAATACCAGCAGGCACGTTTATCTGCATTTCTTGTCCTGGAATTGTTTTGAGCAGCAATTTCCAGATCTTCACACTAGTTTCTTTAAGGGGGGGGGGTGTTTCCATCTAATATTTGTGGGCACTGCTTGATCTGAGAGTGGATTGCAACTTTCTAGTCACATCCTCCCAATTCTCCTCTATCTCCCATTATAAACATCACATTTCAAGATACCCAAGTACAATTGTTTCCTTTGGCTGTCACTTTGCTTTCCTTCTCTCTCCTTCCTGGTTCTCTTCCTTTCCCTCTCTCTTCCCTTCTCTTTTCATTCTCTTTCTCCTTTCTTCCTCTCTCTTTCCTTTCCTTTTAACGTGGATTAATGGCTTAGATTTAACTGCGGGAGGATGGCTTCGCCAGTTCCCGAGAACCATCTCCCCAGATCAGCTCGCCATCGTGTCTGCCTGCTAAATAGTTTTCCCCACTCGTCAGATGCACGCCACTCTGCTCCTTGACTTTTGGCAATGGTTCCCTCAGCATGTTAAGCCCATGCTTTCATTTTTAAAGCCTGACTTGTCTTTCCAGCTGAGGGTAGCTGGAGGGGGAACATTACCCACCTATGAAACAATTATAATTTGTGGTTTAAACAGTAGGACAGGCTGTTCCTCCGATTCAGTAGCTCTAAATTAACTGTTAGATCTCTGCAGCACATTGGGACCAGCGAAAACCATTTATGGACCATTTATGGGCAGTTCTTAGCATTAAATGAAGTAAGAGGCAGAAGGAGAAATAAAATATGTCAACTAAATTTAGATGAAATGGAGATCTCCATGCGCTTGAAGAATTGGAGAGTTTTGTACTGAATTCAGGTCTTTGGTTAGCTGGCGTATTTTTGCATCTGCTAATATACACGGAACATCCCGATCAGAAATGAAAATATGTAGAAGGGAATTTTGTGGGGGTGGGGGAAAAAATAATAAAGGTCATGGATCATTTTTTTAAAAAAGAAAAGAAACTGGGAATTGGAAATGGAACTGGTACTGTATAATAGTGAACAAGGAGAAAGCCAACATAAACTCACTGAGGGAAGGAATTTCAAACTGTAAAAGCTAGATTTGGGCCAGAAAAGCTGGGTAACAAATGTTTCATTCATACCTTACATTCATGAATTTTTTCATCCATGGGATATCAAAACCTAAATCTGGGAAGGAGGAGGAGGAGGAGGAGGAGGAGGAGAAGGAAGATATGGAGAAGGCGGTTGTGAAGGAGAAGATAGACAATGAGTAGAAAGAGAAAGAGAAAGAGGTCAAGGAGGAGAAGGAAGATATGGAGAAGGCAGTTGTGAAGGAGAAGATAGACAATGAGTAGAAAGAGAAAGAGGTCAAGGAGGAGAAGGAGAAGAAGGAGGAGAAGGAGAAGGAAGATATGGAGAAGGCGGTGGTAAAGGAGAAGATAGACAATAGTAGAAGGAGAAAGAGAAAAAGGTCAAGGAGGAGAAGGAGAAGAAGGAGGAGAAGGAAGATATGGAGAAGGAGGAGATTGCAACCATGCACCTCAATGGTAGCTCCCTTAGGTTGGAACAGGTTTCCTGCTTATTAAGCTACACCTTGAAATATTTTTTTTCATTTCCCTGATCACTTTGCCCCATCCAGAGAACTATTCCTTCCCTAACCATGGCTTGATTCACTTCCCCAACATCTCTAATCTGCTTTCCTGGCAGGACATTGTTTGGAAGTCAACCATCTCCCCAGGCTGATGCAAAGATTCTTATTTCTGAAATCTTTTCTCCTTGTCCAAGATTCCTAAGCTCTCCAAACAGACCAAAGGAAGGCCAGTGGGTTTGCAGACCCTGGGAAGCACCTGGTTCGAATTTCAGCTAAGCTTCTTGAGCTGCTCACAGACTGTGGAGCTTGGAAAAAATTTTCAGACACAGAGAGCCACGCACGGAAGTCCAGCTTTAGACAGAGCCCAAGATAGAGTCATAGATATTTGACTTTTCTGGGCAATCTGTAACAAATCAAGCCCGATATTAAAGTATTAAAAGCATGTTGCCTTTCAAAATTCTCCAAGACATCTTTAGGAAACAGTTATGCAGAGAAATGAACTAATAGGTTTAGAATGAAAGGGCAGTTGGACATCTGAGCAAACACCAGCAAGTCCTACGCTTACAACATAACATGCTTGTAACTACCGTACAAAGATAATCAGATTTTGATAGCCTCGGCGCACAAATGAAACACATTTTTTTCCCTAAAGGTTCATCTTTATTAAAATAAACTTTGCGGGGAAACCCTCGGCATCTCCATTCAATCCTTTCTGCAACGCTGCACCCACCCACCCACCCACCCCCACCCAAATAACCAGCAGAAAGACTTAAGAGAATTGATAGCATTCTTGGCTAGACTAATTTTGAGTTTGATTGTAAGCCAAAGGCATTGCGGTCAACTGCTTTGAGGAATAACAGGACGGAGAGCCTAAAGCAACATCAGATAGTTCGATTCATCATAGATCAGGGATCAACACCTGCAAAATAACTAACCAAGAAGCAAAATCTACAGTTTAGCCTTGCCAACACCACTTCCAATGCTGAAAGTAACAGAATAACAGATGGAAGGGACATTGGAGATCTTCTAGTCCAGGGCTCCCCAACCCCTTGGGTCACAGCCCACTACTGGCCATAGCCTATTTCCAAGCGGGCTGCACAAGCCATGTGTGTGCGCTACTCCTGTTCTCACCCAGTTTTTCAGTACTATCACGGAAACCTTAGGTTTCCCTTCACTCTTTCAGCATCACCTGAACCAAGTACCACCTTGAGAAATGGCCAGGTTAAATTTCCAGTTGGGAAGTAGGGCTTTTTGTGAGTAATGGACATCAGCAAGTCCTTTCTTGTAAGTAGTAAAACTCCAGGCTCTTGTTTGAAGATGGGCAGCTGAGTTTGGGGTAGAGTTTGAAAACTTCGGCTTGCTAGAATTATTTCTCTTTCCAGCCAGCTGCTCGTTTCTTATTTGGCCTCTCTGTGTTTGTCGTTTGAGGTGTGTGTCTTTATTATGATAACCAATAATGCACTGTTAGCAGTTACTATTAATTTGCAGATCAGTAAGAACGTAGGGTTACATTTAACTAGGTTTATAGTTACGCCTAGTGAGAATTGTAGCTATTAATTTATCAGAGTTCTGATGTTGCCCATCGAACAACTCCAAGTTATGGCAGTCTGATTGGCTTGGATAGGAAAAGTTACGTATGTAAGTTAAAAGTAAGACAGACGGTTGCTTAATAATATCGTCCAGAGTTAACTAAATAATAGAAAATTTTGCGGAGGCTAAGAGACGTACAAGGCTGCCCCCTTCTGGTGAAGAAAAACAACTATTAACTTGAGCTTCAGCCTTGGTGACCTTGTAGATCAGAGGTCCACAACCTTTGGGGCACCAGGGACCGGTTCTGTGGAGAGAGGTTTTTTCCACGGACTGGAGGGTGCCTGGTTTCGTGTGCTGCCTGCATCCTGTGGATGGGGCTTTGCTTGTTTGCTGGGACCGGTTTCTGGGATGCCGTGGGCCGGGGCCGGTCCACGGACTGGGGTTTGGGGACCCCTGTTGTAGACAACAATATGGAATGTATCTGCCTTTCTGTGATTCTTTTTTTTTTTACTTTTTCATTCACTTTTTTTGATAGATGGACCTTTTCTTCTCACAACTGCAAAGGAGCTATCTAATCTTCTTCAGATGATTGGGACTCAGACCGATGGGATTCGAAGTCCCAAATGTCTAGAAAATAGGTAGGTTCCTGTCAAATTGATTAAAGTGCACACTAAAGTTACTGAACTATGTTTGAATGTCCAAACTCAAACGTTAGGAAAATTCTACAGTTGCACCCAATCAAGGAACACATTTTCTGGGTTCAGGCTAAGCCGTACTCTGGTTGGTTTGATGTTTCCACACCTCCCAGCTTTTGTCAGAGCCAGGGGCCAGCTCCTTCGTTGGTTCCATCTTTGTAGCTTTCCATAGGTCCAGGACATAGAACATAGAATAGTCTGTTCCCTGGAGGTCTTCTAGTCCAACTCGCTGCTCGAGCAGGAAACCCAAGCAGGAGAATGGAAAAGTTGTCCAACTGAACCAGGTCAGAGTTAGGGTGATCCATCTCAAGTTGGAAGGTCTACGAAGAGTTGGCTTCCTGGTCATGCCCTCCAGCTCTCTTGTTCATTGACCAAAAAAAAAAAAAAAAATCCACTGTTGAATTTCTGGGTCTTCTTCTGAAATTAATGAGCAACCCAGAGAGTTGGTGTCTCATCTTAAGTACAGCTCATCATTCATTTCCTAAGAGGTTCCTCAAGTTGAGGTCATGACTGTTGTGGTAACCCCAAAATGGGGAGGGCTGAATCTTCCCCCTCCCCTTCCTGTCCTTGATTCTGAGGTCTATGGAGACCTGGGGTTGATGTGTTTAAGACTGTAGTACAGAAGGTGTTCCATGATGTATACAACAATGGGAGATCTTTGAAGGGAAAAATGTGAACATGGGTAGGCATGAAATCTTCAAGGGATGTAGTAGGAGTTGTAATCCAGCGTAGCTGGAAGGCAGCAGCTTTGGGGGAGGCTGATGTATGGGGAGGAAGTCTTGGTGGGTCTTGTTCCGATGTACTGAAGTACTATCTTCCATGGCTGGTATGCTGTGTAAGACATTCATTTAGGATGAGTAATTATTTGGTTTCAAAACAGCCCTTGTGTTTCTCCAAGTCCTGCTGTACTTTTGACCCCCCCCCCTGAAAAGCAAAGCTCTGAATAATAGAGTTAAACCCTCATCTGACTTATGATAATATTTGGCTAAGCTCCCTTAATCGAGTATCGTGCCTCTTGCCCGATCTGCAACGTGGTTAGCACTACCAAGAAATGGGAATTTGGAACAGGGCTGAAAGAGCAAGACATGTTCTCCATGAGAAATCCAAAACAGGCTGTAGTCTCCTCCTCCTCTTCCTTCTCTTTCACTTTCCCCTCCTTCCTCATTCTTTCCTTCTCCTTCTCTTCCTCCTTCTCCTCCTCCTCCTCCTCCTTCTTCTCCTCCTCCACTTCCTCCTTCTCCTTCTCTTTCTCCTCCTCCTCCTTCTTCTCCTCTTCCTCCTCCTCCTCCTCCACTTCCTCTTCCTCCTTCTCTTTTGCCTCCTCCTCCTCCTCCTTCTCTTCCTCCTTCTCCTCCTCCACTTCCTCTTCCTCCTTCTCCTTCTCTTTCTCCTCCTCCTCCTTCTCCTTCTCTTCCTCCTCCTCCTTCTCTTCTTCTTCTCCTCCTTCTCTCCTCCTCCTCCTCCTCCTTCTCCCCCTTCCTCATTCTTTCCTTCTCCTTCTCCTCCTACTCCTCCTCAACTTCATGCCTGCCTCTCTTGCGGTTTCTTGCTCCTCCCTGAAAATAAAAATTGGGGCAGGTGGGAAGACGATCGTAGGAGGTTAAATCCAGAACAATAAAACAATTCGCATTAGCTAAGAGATGTCTCCCAGCACCCTTCCTTTGGCAAAATTCATTCTGGTCCCTGCTTATTTAAAAAAAAAAAAAAAACATGGCCATTAGCCGGCCCGCCGCAGCCAAGGTGGAGCATTACTAATGCAATTTGTCCTCTTCTCTTGAGAAATGTGGGACTGATTTGCAGAATAAAAGCAACACCTTGCAACATCAGGAACTTATCTTTAGCCCGGGGGTCCAGCGTTGAGGCAGCCCACCCACCCCCTGTACTCCAAAGTCCTTCCTCTGACGTGTGAAATTATTAAGCAGAACCTGATTGGGGGTTACACCTCGGAAATGCCAATGGACGGGGGGGGGGGGTGAAGAGGAACAGGTAGGGAAAAAGCACAGATCAAAGAGCATGGGAAAAATCCACCTTCTCCAGCATGGCTGGGATGCAGGAATGTGCCCCCAGGCCCCTTTTTCCCATGCTGTCGCTGCCTCTTTCTGGAGGGATTTCATTGATAACTTTCATCTGTCTCTAATCTTTGCATCTAGGCTCCCAATTTGCAGCCGGGGCAATCTGAAGGCAGCTAGGCTGAAATTGGGGGTGCTCTACATCTCCCCAAATAGGGTTCTTCTGCCGTCCACATGAGTAATCGGCATTCTGACCCATGGGGTTGTTTTTAGAGGGTGTAGAAATCCTTTAAAAAAGCACATTGATTAAAGGAGGATCTTTGTAGCTCAGGGGTTGAAATGAGGGGGTCCTTGGTGCTCTCTGAGTTTGCTTGCTTTCTTGCAGACGTTTCATGACCCAAACTAAGTAACATCATCAGTGCTAGAAGGGGGGAGGAGGAGGAGGAGGAGAAGAAGAAGGAGGAAGACTGTAGGGTCCTTGGTGCTCTCTGAGCTTGGCTGTTTTCTTGCAGACGTTTCATGACCCACACTAGGTAACATCATCAGTGCTAGAAGGGAGAGGAGGAGGAGGAGGAGGAGGAGGAGGAGGAGGAGGAGGAGGAGGAGGAGGACAACAACGACAACTGTGGGGTCCTTGGTACTCTCTGAGCTTGGCTGTTTTCTTGCAGACATTTTGTGACCCAAACTAGGTAACATCATCACTGCTAGAAAGGAGGAGGAGGAGGAGGAGGAGGAGGAGGAGGAGGAGGAGGAGGAGGAGCCTGATGCCTTAACCACTACCCCAAATTGGTTCTCTGGTTCACTATGTAGTGTGCTTGAAAATGCATTTATTCAACAGGATATTTGCACACCAACGTACAACGCCAAGTTTGCAATTCTTAAGAAGAACTGTACTCTTCCCTATCCTTAAAGATTGTCCCAGTCTACAAGTCTCATTTCTTTTCACAGATATATTTCCCATCCCAGTGCTAAAAGGCACAACTGCCCACAAGCAATGAGTGAGCTGGGGATTTTTTTTAATTGGGAAGAGTTCCTTCTTTGCATGCGATATTTTAGACTGCTGAAGCTTTTATTTTCCTGCCAAAACCGAATGCTATGATATCATTAATGGGGAGTGGAGAAGTGAGGCCAAAAAAAACGAAACAAAGAACCAATAGCCTCAGTTGGTATTGATCATTTAAGGTTAAGATCTCGGGGGGGGGGCACTCCCTTGATTTAGACCCAGAAAACGTGAAATTTATGGTCCCATTTGAACCCCTCTCCCTCCCCGTAGCCAGCTGAATGCCAAAGGCTGTAAAATTTAAAGAGGTGAGAGGGAAACTTCCCAGAAAAAAAAAAATAAACATTCCTTGAAAAATGGAATTAAGTCCTTTCCTGGAAGAATTCACCCCCAGCCAGCTTGTGAGCAAGTGGGAAGGTATTTGAAAGGCTAAATCAGGATGTGTCTCTGTGCAAGGAGCCACTTTCTGCTTTATGGGAAGCTGGTCTCCGGATGGCGCACAATTGTTGTAGGGTTCAGTTTGCACATGATCCAGACCCACCCAAAGAACCTTCCACTAAGAATGGCATCAAGCATGGAGAAGACATTGGAGTAGTTCTCTCAGGTTCTACCTAAACAATACCCAGGTCCCAATGGAAACAAATATGGAGAAGCACCTTGCTCACTATAGAGGATGGGAAGCTGAATGTCAACCAGCAGAAATACGTAGCTGCAAAAAAAGGCAAAGGCAGTTTTATCAATAGAGCCATGGTTTTCCACAGCTGCATCAATACATTTGAGGGTGACTCCGAACTTGAGAACACGGCTAAATGGCTCTGATTGAGGAGAAGGGGGGGGGGAAATGTTGCTTTCGCCCAGGTTTGTTCTTATAGAGGTCTAAGGTGAGTTACCTTGTCAACGCCTCAAGCCATCCATCACGTGGATGGCATATTACATTTCTGAGCGTGGGGGAGTGACATCCCATCAGGGACTGTTCTAAATGAGTCGTGATAATCAGCTCCTTTTATAAGCTTAGCTTGGATTTGTCTGTCTCTCTCTGGGGCGGGGGGGAGAACGCTCTTGTCCCATTTTCCTGCAGCTTCCTTCCGAAAAGTCCAAGCTTTCTTCTAGACCCAAAGAAATTGGGGGGGGGGGAGAAGACCATAGATATTTGGTGGTGGTTCACAGGTGTTAAATAGTGGTTTCCCGGGGGTCGATAGCAAGAAGAAATGGACTTCTGGAGGCAGTGGGTTAGAGATATTCCCTATTTTATTAACAACGTGAGCGTTTTTCCTGCCTTTGATGTTGTGCCACAGAGAGATACGGTGATAGATTCTTCTCATGCTTGGTCTTGGGAAAGGTCAGTAGTTTCATCAACATTTCAATCTCCCAATCTGGTGAACAATTGACAATTGCTTCTGCACCTGCCCTGAAGGACAAGTCTACTGCATGGAGTGGAACTCTATCATAAGGCCACCTGGACGGTTCTTCCTCTGCACAATGGATCCAAGGTCATCACCGTTTCTACTCTCCGATGTACTCTTTCTAGAGTCTGAACGTCTTTTTTTTACATCGTGGTGACCAACCAAGTGTGGCCTTACCAAGGCATTGTAGAGTGGTGTTAACATTTCACGTGATCTTGATTCTATCCTTCTGTTAATGCAGCCTAGCACTGTGTCGGCTTTTTTGGCTGGCTTGTATTCAAGGGATTGTCCACTAGGACTCTGAGATCCTTCTCACAGTTGCTACTATTGAGCAAGGTACCCCCTATACTATACTTGCGCATTTGGTTTTTCTTGCCTAAACGTAGAACCTTACTGTTGCCCGATCAAAGTCCTCACCCTTCTTCCTTTGCCTTTTTAGAGCTGGTTGACCTCCATTCCACGCCTTTCCGGATCTTCTCCATATCCAGGTTGAGACAAAAATGTAAATTTCCCAAAGCAGACTCAGAACTA